GGCAAGATCTCATTCCTTTTGATGGCTGCATAATATTCCATTGTATATATATACCACATCTTCTTTATCCAGTCATCTGTCGATGGACATCTTGCAGAGCCTGCATTCTTAACCCTGTACTGCCACTCCGGTAATCTAATGGAAAAGACAGAAGCATGAGACAAAAATTGGGAAATATATGCAGAGAAAGATACAGAAAAAAGAATACCAAGAATGGGAGGACGTAGAGGAGAATCGGACATGGAATCCTCAAGGAAAGGCCAATGAGACAGACTGAACAGATGTGTAGAGGGAGGATGTAGAGGAAGAGGAGGTGGGGACGAGTCAGCAGGACTTTGTAGGAACTGAGTAAGTCCACTGGTCAGGGGCAGCTCTGGGGACAAAGGCAGCTTCACTATGGCCATGGGAGTCAGGATAAGCCATCACCAGTTAACTCAAGTACCTTGTGTGGGACATGCAGTGAGATGGCCTGGCCAAGGCCCTCTTAGCCAGGGTTGCAGCTGACCCCAATCCTCCACTCTGCCAGTTGGGGTCTGACTGTAAGGGCTGTGTGGGATCTACCAAGTCCACACGGTCTCTGTATGGTTACCTGGGGAGGATCTTCAACTCTTGCTTTATAAAAAGGGGATTAGGGGAGAATGGCACAGACCATACTTTAATTTCTGAAATGAACTTTCAGTTTCTTCCCCTAGGAACTGGTGAAAACTCATATCGAAGCCTGACCTGGTCATGCCCACAATCCTCATCTTACCACGGTCTGTTCCTGTTGACTGTATTCTGATCCTTTGTGTTCTTGTCCCATTCTGGAATATGCTGGGAGGTGGGGGGCTGCTTTTTTGTATCACTGATTACCCAGAATCTCTGTCTTTACTAATGCAATTTCTATAAGGAAGTCCTGGGGTGTTTGCCCTGGGATTCATTCCTTACCTTCCCCTGTTCTGCTCTGCCCTCTATCTCTGGCCACTGGCTTCTGTGGACCTACTTGCTAGCTCCCTTTGTTGCTGGCTTCCTGCTGGGTTCCTGACATGGGACCCTAACAAGAGATCGGAGAGTGGGAAAAAGGGAGAAGCTGGATATTTCCCCATCACTGCCTTTGTCCACAATTCTGAATGTGGTTGCATCTCATCCATGATACCACTTCCCACCAAGCGGGCCAGCCATAGGCCAGCTTCTATCCACCCAGTGACCCTGACCTCTGGGCCCACCCTCAGTCCCTTCCACAGTTTCCTGTTAAGTATTTTTCCGGTTACTGCATTCTTCTATTTGGACTTCTCAGCTCTTCCATCAACTGTATAACCAACCTCCTGGATGAAATTCCCTGTGCTGTAAAAGCTTAGAGTGATTTCTATTTTCCTGTTGTACCCTGATTGATGCAAAGGGCAAATAAAATATCTGTGAATTAAAACATGGTTTAGGTACAACCCCACCTGAAAATAGACTCTTGGAGAACCTCTGTGAATCAGAACAGATAAATGCAAACAGAACAGATACAACCAGTGACAAAAATGATGCACTAGAAATCCAACAAGCAAATGAGGAGTGTGCCCAAGAATCTGAGCCAGCAGGTAAGACTGCCTGGGTTTGCATGAGTTTAGAGGGGCTAAGGAGTCCTTCATGGTGGCAGAGAATGGAGTCATGCCCAACTCAAGAAAACATCTATTAACAAAGAAGGGGAAACTCATGCAGATTCGGAGGAGACAGGAATGGAGCTTGATATATTGATGGGAGAGACCTAGAGGAAGAAAAGTTAGGAAGTGCTAGCTTCCACAAGCCTACTTATTTTTTACTGGATTAAAAGCTGGTATTGGGTGAGATCAGAAATTGCCACCTTCTGCCATTTTCCTGCTGATAAAAATGATAGATAAGCTAATTTGTACTGTTTAACTGAAAGAGCAATATTTGCCTACCTGTAATGGAAAATATATAAAATATGTTTCTGGTGCTTTTTCATTTTCTCAATGTTGGAATACCTCTTATTGACAGAAAAGTTGCAATGCCAGGGGCTGAAAATGGATTTTGACTTTAAGATCTTCAAAAGCTGCTAAGAAAATTAAATGAGTACATAAACAAATAAAATACAAAACAAAATAAGAAATATGGCTATGAGAGACATGGGTACACGCTATAGAAATTTAAAGAAAAAAAAAAGATGGTTTCTGGCTAAGGGGCAAGGCAGAGAAAATCAGGACATGCTTATAGTAGTATCGTTTGCTATGGCCTCAGCAGATGGGAAGAAACTAGATATTAAGTTTGAAGATACCCAAATTTGAAGAAAAAAGAAAAAGAAAACTTCACAGTATACATTCCAGTGTAGGGGCTCAGGGCAGACCACCCTAAAATGTGCCATTTAAGCATAAAGATTATTTCGAGTTAAAATAAAAACCCAACAGATACAGGAAAGGCACTCTGCCTCCCCCATAACTGCCTTAATATATATTGGAAAGGAGAGCCTATATCAGGAAGAGAAGTATTAGTAGAAACTTCCCCTTACCTAAGAAGGAACTTATCTGTATAATAGAACCATGTTATATGTTTTTCCAAACATCTCCTTTGACCTTCTTACTAATGACTTTTCTCCCCTCTGTATCCTCAGGCCCCTATCCCTCTCCTAAGCTCATATAAGCTTCATGTTGCCTCATTGTGTTTGGAATTCCATGTCTGTATGGATTCTCTGTATGTATGCCTATTAAATTTCGTTTTCTTTTGTTAAAAAAAAAGAAAAAGAAAAGTTAGGAAGGACAAACAAGGAGACAAAGGGTAAAAAGTTACAGGGCTTCATCAGGGAAGAGAGACAGAAAGAAAAGTCAAAAGAAGTCAGGGAGAGCTGATCACAGAGTTACTGAAGCACCAACATTTTCATGGGGTGAAGGTTAAGATGGCAATATATGCAGACAAGCTATAAATAGAAACATGAGAAGAAAAGAGAAGTCAGGTGAGGTGTAACAAAATGCAAATAGGCAGAACAGGGAGGGCTGTGCCGGGTCTCAGCTGTGTCTTTTTTAATCCTCAGAGTCCTGTGAACAAGCACCCATCCAAGTGAGTAATGGAGACACAAGAGAAGTCACACCCAGCCCATTGCCCTCTGATGGAGAAAGTAATTATTACTTATCTTACAAATTTTCTAATTCTATCTTTGTTTTTCTATGAGAGCAAAAGCTTTCCTTTGTTCTCCAATACTAACCACCTCCCTTACCCTAACAACACCCAAGATCCACAGCCTTGTGCACAGCCTCTGGCTGCTTCTAAGTCATGTGAGATGCAAGGGGGAAAGAGAGGTGAGCTCTTTGATAAAGGGCATATCCCCAAGGAAAGAATGCAAGGAGAGAAAATATTTAAAAAGTGAACCAAAGAACACCAAACGACAAAGTACATGAACAACATAGGTTTTAGATAAATTGACATGGAATCCAAACAGTACCATTTTGTGGAGTTGGTGAAAAGAAATAAGTTGCAGCTTGCTTTTCAGAAATTGTAACAGAAACATGGAAACCATGCATGATGCTGCTGGTCAGATTTGCAAGTATGGAAGCTCTGATGAAGGGCTTTTAGAAAAGAAGTGGCAACTGGAGGGACTTGGAGTGGGGGACAGTGGCACAGGAGGAGAACTTTGGTGATGATTGGAATGCTTGAGATGAGAAAAATGAATAGAAAGACAGAAATCAATACAGAAGAGGCATATAGAAAGTCACATTAATAATTAAGAAACAGAGATCAAGTAGGAGAAAGTAAGAAACATAACAGAGAATTGATAAACTGAAAAATCAGTTAGGGGACAGCAGGGCCAGTTCTAGGGTGAGGCAGGGAGGTCCTGGGACACATGGGAAGAAAATCTTACCCGTGGTATCTTCTTGTCCCTTGGCACCTCTTCTAATTCACCCTAGACCCTGCTGGGTCCTGGGAGATGGTGATAAGGGATGTTGAGAAAAAGAGTATGAATAGAGAAATATCCAGAAGAAAATGAATACCAGTAAATAGAAAAAATGGGAAGAGGCCTAAAGAGAATGAGTAGAGGATGAGTTAAGGGACCATGAATGAAAAACTGGTAGAGAGTGGGCCAAATAAAGAGAGAAGATAAATGAAAACATTGTCCAATTTGAAAAGATGGTCATGAGAAAGAAGGCACAGAGGGCTCTTCCTAATACCATTGAGAAGACATCATTAAGGTGTCTACAGTGACCAAAATGGCCCTTTCACTCCCTCAGATAAAAATAGGCCTCCACCCAGGCATCTCATGTCTCCATGGCTTCAATCACCATCTGTGATCTATGGATTCCTACACACAACTCTGGTCCAGACCTGTCTTCTAGATTCATTCCTTCAAGTGCCTGAAGACTTGTAATCAAAGATCTGAAAGCCATCTCTATTTGGAAGCTATATTAGTTATCTATTGCTGTGTAACAAACAGTCCCCAAATTCAGTGGATTAAAACAACCATTACTTTATTTGCCGCTTCTGTCAATTCCAACTTTAAAATATGTTCAACCTGCCCATTTCTCTCCATTTCCAGGATGCTTACTCTAATCCAGATTCCTATCACTTCTCACTTCAAAATAGAAGAACTCTCCTGCTGGCCTCATCCCTCCTATCTTGTTCCCCTCAGATCCATTCTCCACACTTCGGCTCAATGGCCATTGCAAAAATGCCAACCAGTTCATATGACTTTCCTATTTAAACCTAGTACCCTATTGTGATCCTCAGAATGAGGTCAACACAGCTTGGTGTGCAGTATTGAAGGATACCTCCCATACAGTTGTATAATCTCCCCCTCATACACTCTTCCACCACATTCCCACCATACCAAATTCTGTTTGTTTACTTGAATTGTCAAGCTCTCTCAGTTATATCTCTGCCTTTATACATGCTTTTGTAAAACAGTTTGGAATACAGTCCCAAAGTTGAAAATACACATAGCTTATGACTCAGCAATTACATTCCTCAGCCAAAACCAACAGAAATGTGCACTATGTTCAAAAAAAGAAAAGAAACACATAGAAAAGCAGCATTATTCATAATAGCCAAAATTTTGAAACAGCACAAATGGATTTTTTATGGTTTTATTTTTCATGGGTTATTTCTACAATGGAATACTATACAGCAGTTAAAAAGGAAAATGAATACAGCTGATTCTCACAAACATAATGTTGAGAAAGGAAGCCAAGTTTCGCGCACCCCCCACCCCCCGCCCCTGCCAAATGACAGAGAGATGGAGAAAGAGCGGACATGATTCCATTTATACAAACATGTATATTTTGGAACTGGCAAAATTGATCATCAGTGGTATTAAAAATCAGGATGAGCAGGTTGTTAACTTGAGTTACATGGTGGAGACAGTTAGGAGGAGGCATTACTAAGAGGCTTCCAGGGTATAAGTAATCTATTTCTTGACCACAGCGACAGTTTCCCAGATATGCTTACTTTGTGATGATTCAAAATTTATGATTTACCCATCTTTATCTATGCACATTATACTGAAAATATAATTATTATTTTTAAAAGAGCAAAAAGTTGGGCTCCTGGATGGCTCAGTCAGTTAAGCGCCCAACTCTTGGTTTCGGCTCAGGGACGTGAGATAGAGCCCCATGTTGGGCTCCATGCTCAGCGCAGAGTTTGCCTGAGATTCTCTCTTCCTCTGCCCCCACTAAAATAAATAAATAAATCTTTTAAAACAAAAGAGCAAAAAATAATTCACCAAAGGATGAGAAGAGAAAATAAAAACAAACAAAAAACCCCCCCAAAACCCAGAGTCCAGAGAGGCACAGAGGAAGGGACACAGTTAAGCAGCAGGAAAGAAGAGGGGTGGGGGTGGAGCTTCACCCCTGCAGTGGATTTACAGGGAGAAGGACTTATGAATAGTAGTGAACGGTGTTTACTCCCTTTGGGGGAGGCCAGTGAAAATTCTTTATTCATTACAATTTGATCCAGGAGCAGAGCTACCCAACCATGGAATCCAAGTCAACTCCTGTTCTGTATATCTGGTGGATATAAAGAAGGAAAAGCCATTTTTTAACTCGAGAGTTGAACAGCAAGCCCAAGCGAGGACTAACTGTAACCAGGCATCTGACATAATAGGTAAGGCTGACTGAAAGAGTGTGCAATGTTCCAGGCAAGGGGCTGGGACATGTCATCAGGGTCCATCGAGGCAGTCCAGTTGGCCTTGGATAGAGGCAAGAGGGAGGAACCAGTATCATATGCAGTGAGCTCAGCAGGAGAAAGTCCCAGTAATCAGAAAAATACCAAAAGATGGAAATGGTAGATTTAAGTATTAATGTATGGGAGACTATTTCTAAAGCAAAAGAAGAAAGTATGAGGGTAGAAGTTGAAGAAAAACTAAAAAACATCAGAGAGCCAAGATATTCACGGCAGGGGATGAAGAAGGAAACACATGAAGACAAAGAGAGGTATTGAGAGAAACCACTGCCAGAAAGAGAGGCATAAGTAGGGGAAATGGGCAAAGCCAAGAGGAAAGTGAAGTAAACTGAGAATAAAAGATAAGAGGGAGCCTGAGGACGGCAGGGAGGAGGGGGGTAGGAGGTCACATGAGGGCAGAGGTTGGAGGTCACATGAGGGCAGAAGTAGGAGGTCACATGAGGATGGGAGAAAAGTGTTGGCAGGTGGGCAAAGCTGCCCTCTGCGCGTGAATTCCATCACCTTTAGTTTAGGACTGGAGCAACCTGCAGGTCACACACATTCAAGCATAGACCAGGGTGCCTTGAGTTAACTCAGCTTCTAGGTTTTCCTAGTGGTCCCATTGCAGAGTCGCCTGCTATGTGGACTCATTGGCCCCACCCTGAAGCTAAAGGGCTTTTGCTCCTCTGTGCAGTGATCAGCAGTGACTCCGAGGAATCCAGTGATGAAGACGAGCCCCCAGAAGCCTCCACGTCAGCACTGGAAAGCGGGCCTGGTGAGGAAGTGGGAAAGCAGGCTTTGGCTACAAGAATCTGAATTAAGAACTACTGTTTGATGCATCTTATTCTGTGCCTATTCTGTATGATAGATTCAGTTTATCCTGGAATTCGATTCTCTGCATTTATTTTACTTGACCTTTTTGGGAAATGCAGGGAGATAAAAAATCATTAATATACATACTTTTTAAAGATGAGGCCTATTAATTGATAGGTCCTATTTATCAATACAAGCACCCATATATTGATTATATAGCAGAAAGGGGCTACCAAAATGATGAATTTGTTTTTAAGGCTAGTTAGTTTCTATGCTTATATGGTGTTGGATTTATAGTGATTTCTATAGGGAACAGAAAGCTAAATATTCATTTATTAGAAGGTCATATTGTCATCTGAGCACAAACTGAATTGTGTCAAAAGACAACTCATCCAGCTATCCAGTTTTAGCAGAAAAAAAGATTCAGATAGAGTACTCTGAAACCCAAAGTATTGTTTTTGAGAGTTCTTCAGCAAGTCATGGCATATATAATGATTTTTCCAAGGTCTTTTGCAAATAATACCTTACTTTTTAATTTATAACAATCTTAAGTACCCCAGACATTGTTATCCTTGTTTTCTAGAGAAAACACAATCATCAATGTTTCAAGGTCTTCTACAAAGTCTCATGGAGAATTAAAGGGACAAGACTAGCATCCTGGATTCTGCATTTTTGCTTTATAAAATTAGAGCTAAAGATGATTACCAAAATGTTATGTTTCCTCAATTTCATGGGTAGCATGAGTGGTCCTAAGATTTGCAGCTCTTTTGTGCACACATTGGTGATTTGTTTTCCCTTTCTGCTTTCTAGACCCAGAGGGTATTAGAAACATGCCTATTTGGGGAAACATACTTGGAAAAGACCTAAAAACAAATAAAAATATTACCTGGTCCTGATGTTACCAAAGAACATTATTTTAAATGATACATTATTCTTATTGCTCACTAGATCCATCAAAGTAAAATGTAAATTTGCTTCAAGTTTTAAAGCGTACACATTTTAACTTTTGTCTTAGTGTAGCAAACTGCTCTAAAATGCAGTCCCAAAATATGTCTAGGATGCAGACACAAGGGATTATTTCTCAGCCTTGCAAACGCACTGGGTTGGAGGGGAAGTAGAAGAGGCTTGTGGTTGTCAACACAAGATTTCCAAGATTTCCTCCCTTCCAAGGTGAGAAACAGCAGAGATGAAGGAAGTGTGAAGTGACAATAGAAGGGGTAAGAAGTAGAAGAGAGAGAGTATGGGAAGGTGAGGTTCAGTCAGAGCAAAGTTGCCTCTTGCCTCTTGGAGACAGGGAATGGAGTGTGACTATCATTCAAGGCAGGTGGCTTAGAAGGACAGACCAGGGTGGCACTGTTGCAGACCGCAATTTGCATGGGTTTTCTAGATTTTTCTAGATTTTCTTAGGAGGATATTTCCCACTAATATTTCAGTTTCTTGGTCACACGCTGAGATCCCTAAAAGGTCCTCTTCCTTTGTGCAGTGACCAATAACCTTGACTCATTAGAATCAAGTGAGAGAGGAGAGTCCCAAGAAGCCACCTGCTCAAAACTTCAGATTACACTAGGTAAGAACATTAGGATTGCAATCCTGCATGACAAATACTCAGAGTCTAAATGCAGAGCTGTTTTCCTGATGAATCTTGTTTTGAGCATGCTCTGTGTGCCTTGATTCTATTACTTCTAAGGACTGTTTTCTGCATTTAATTTCTCTGGCCCTATTGGGAAGTGGAAGGAGGCAGGAAGGCATTATAAATTGTTATTTAACTGTACAGGCCCATTTGATTGATATATAGAAAATGTAGCAAAAATATGCTGGTAAAATGACAAACTTTTCTCTACACACTATCATGTATTAATGCTAAAGAGTTGAAATAATGTACTTATTCTCTACCAATATGCTTTATATTCTATCCAACAGAGTAAGCACGGTGTACCTCTGTTTGTTGACAATATTGTCATTAGTCCCAAACTTAGAAAACCTTCAAAGAATAATTTGTGCTGCTATTTAATTATTGATGGGAAAATGACCTCTGATCAGCTATTCTCAAACCCAACTTACTTAAACCATTGGCTTACGCTGTAATTTTTTAAAGGGCTTTTGTAAATAAAGCTTCATTTTGTTTTCATAAAAAACCTTAACAGGGAGATAGGGTAACTAGGTTATCCCAGCTTTATAGATAAGGCAACCGTGGCTAGTCATGTTGAAGAATCATTTACAAATTTACACAGAGAGTGAAAAGGAGAGCCAAGCAGGAACCCAGCATTATACCCCAGGCCACCAGAACTGGATTCAGTTGAAGGAAAGAGAGAAAAATGATCATCAAAGTATTATTATGACTGCAAGCCCATTGAATTGTCACAGAATCTGTAAGATTATTGCATACAAATAATTGTTTCTTCCCTCTTACTTTATAGACTCCATGGATTTCAGAAAATCGCCTACATCCAGAAAAAGAGTTTGGAAAGTAGGTAAGGGCAAGTAAAAACTCTTCGTGGTTACAAATGAACAGCGTCTTCTACAAAAGATTCATTCTAATGCTTTGCTATATCCTTCAAAGTAAAATATAAATTTGTTTTAAGATGGTTTGTATTTTAACTTTTGTATTAGTTAGGCTAATGGTTGTAACAAACAAATCCAAAGAAGTCAAGCATTCAAACACGATAGAATTAAGTTTTTTTCTCAAGTAAACATTCCAAGGAATTTTAGATAGGGGAGGTGTGGGACCCTGTTTCATGTGGGGTTCAAGGAAGCAGCCAAGTGGGAAATCTGCCTTCTTCAATACGAGACTCCCAAGATGTCCTGGGGATATTCTTGCTGTGGGCTTTTTAACCTCTTGGTTCCTTTGTCATACACTGAGACTTTCAAGGGACACTTGCTTCTTCTGCAGTGAAAAGATTTGATGACTATTCAGAGTCCAGTGAGGAAGAGGAGCCCCCGAGAGCCTCGAGCTCAGCACTGAGAAGTGATCCTGATGAGGAGGGTAAGGACTGCCATCACTGGGCTCCCAGACACGAGGAATCTGAGTTCAGAGTTCTTGTTTCCTGGGCATTTAACTCGGAGCACACTCCACGGCCTGGGATCCCATTCTCTGCATTTTTCACATCTGGCCATTTTGAAAAATGCAAAAAGAGAAATCATTATAAATTCAGGTTTAGCAAGATGGCGCTAGGTGAATGGCAGTGCCATTTTTACTACATGCTCTCAGATTTATTAACCCCAAAGTATTGAATTACATAGTGATTTCCACCCCTGCCCACTCCCATTTTCTAGAGAGCAGAGAAAATGGGTATCTGCCGTTGCTGATTTTGTTGCAAACTTGTTAAAAAATCAGAAGATTCTGATCATGGACTCTGATTATTGAAGAAAGAAAAGCTTCTAGTTATTACCATCAAATTCACTTTATAGCTTTTGACAGATGACCCCAATATGACATTGGCCTACATAATGATATTTTAAAATATCTTCACTAATAAGATATCTTTTTATGTTTTTAACAACTTTAAAGATAAGCCAGATAACTGTTGGTCTCTCCACTCCACAGGTGGGGAAACTCTAGCACATAAACATTTAAGGATCTTTTACACATCTTATATGGAAATTTACTAGAAGAAGCAAAACAGCCTGGACTCCTAGCAAACATCCATAGTCTTTTATTCAAAACCTTTGAAGGGCGCCTGGGTGGCTCAGTCGTTAAGCGTCTGCCTTCGGCTCAGGTCATCATCCCAGGGTCCTGGGATCGAGTCCCACATCGGGCTCCCTGCTGGGCAGGAGGCCTGCTTCTCCCTCTCTCACTCCCTCTGCTTGTGTTCCTGCTCTTGCTATCTCTCTCTCTGTCAAGTAAATAAAAATAAAATTTTAAAAAAACAAACAAAAAGCCTTTGAAGACAGACATAAAATAATAATCTGTTAGAGAAACAATATGGTTTATATCCTACATATTACTAAAAAAAAATCCAACAGGGTCTGGGACAGAATCCCATTCTCAAATATACTATATTAGTGTTCCTGCAACAAATAGTGTGAATTCACACCAAGTGTGAGAAATAAAGATTTTACATAGACTCATGACAGCTCAAGTCCAGATTCGCCACCGAAGTAGTTAACTGAAAACCTATGGGAAAAATATGGATTTTCAGAACTTCTTTGATTTTGCAGTTGGGGCCAAAGGATTGTGGTTCTCTGCTCCATTTAGTAGTGATCTTTTTCGTTTAGATGGGAAGAGACAGAAATGATCATCATACTGTCTAGTCCAGATCCTGTCTACAATGTGAGTAGTCATAAGATTTACAACTCTTAGTTGTAGATTACTGGTTGTGTTTTCCTTTACTTTGTAGATCCTGCGGATATTGGAGACAAATCTATTTGGGGGATAAGCAAGAGGAAAAGATGTAAGGGCAATTAAAACTCTTGATGTAACAAATATCTTTCTTTACTACAAAAACTTCGTTCAAAAATTTTTGTTATATCCTCTAAAATAAAAAAAAAATTAATTTGTTGGCAATTTGATGGATTCACATTATACATTTTGAATTAGGTGGGCTGGGCTAATTGATACAACATGTAGGCCTCAAAAAGTTGAATGGCACACATGCAATATAAGTATATTCTTCATTTGCTTAAATAGGATAAAGTAACTCCTGGAGTGGAGGGGTGTTCTGCTTTGTATGATTGTTGAGGGCCCCAGCTGATAGAGGCCCTGACATCTTGAAAACGTTGCTTCCACAGACTCCCTGGATAAGCAAAGGAACTGGAAGAAGCAGTATGTTCAGACAAGTGGAGAGGGTAAGACACGGTGACAAAAGGGAGTGCCTTCCATGGCAAAGTTGTCCCACAGCCCAGCCCTGAGGGTGGTTCCTGGAGCAACCCTGACCAACAGGTCAGATGGAGCCACAGGGTAGCCTGGTGGTAGGAATATTCCTGCTCCTCCTACATGAGCTTCATTTTCCAATTTTCCTTTTAAAGAATTTGGTGCTGGATTGGTTGCTAGGACACAGATTGAGACTGCTAAGGAATTTTATTTCTTTCTGCAGGGATCAGCAGTGGTAACTTTTCAGAATTAAGTCATACAGAAGAACCTCAGGAATCGTCTGGCTCAGTCCTAAGAAGTGGGTCAGGTAAAGAAGATTAGGATACCAAGCCTTGGCCTGCAGAATGTCAGGAGTTAAAAGCTACTGTTTCCTGATGCATTTTATTCTGAGCACCTGGAAGACCTGTATCCAGTTAATCCTGGGAACTCCTTTTCATCATTTTAGAAAATAGAAGGAGACAGGAAATTATTATAAATTCATGTTTAACAGGAGGAGTCCTATTGAAAAAAATGTATGTAATTATGTACTGCTGTTGTGGAAGAAATGAATAGCAAATGGTGGTATCTTTTTAATACCTACTGTCATGCCTATTAAGATCTTAGATTTCTACAGTGATATATTGATTGACACTCATGTCATTTGTAACTGTAAAAGCCTCAAAAGACGACTGGTCCTGCTATGTAATTATAGACAGAAATAAAAGCTTCAGATCAACAACTTTCAAACTTTAGTATAGTTTTTGACAGATGTCCATCACACTGTAATTTGATTATATTGTGTTACTTTAAAGTACTTTGGCAAATAAGATCTTACTTTGTCATCACAATATCCTCAAGACTTAGGCAGGCTAATTTTTGTTATGCCCATTTTGGGATGAGGAAATAGACATTTGACCAAATTGTCCAATTTGACCAAAGGTCAAAAAGTATGACTATTGTATGTAACAGGCAGGAATAAAAGAGCTGTATCCAGTGATCAAAATCCAAAAAGGAGGTACAAGGCACCTGACATATAGTATCAGCAGAACGTATCGGTGCCTGATGCAAGAAAACTTATTTAACAACTATATAGATGATGATGATGATGATAGATAGATAGATGATAGATAGATAGATAGATAGAGAGATGATAGATAGAGAGATGATAGATAGAGAGATAGATAGTAGATAGATAGACATATAGATAGATGATAGATAATAGATAAAAATGAAAATTATAAAGAAAAATAAGATGGTAGGAGTGGTGCCAGCTATAAGGTATACAAAATACCTAGAAGGGCAGAGCCAAAAAGGATGAATAGAGAAATAAAAAGGCACAGAAATTAAGAATATCACTGATGAAAAGAGAGAAAACAACACAGAGGACAAGAGAAATCAGGGAAATCAGGGAGAGAAGCTCACAGAATCAAGTGATGGAGATAGAAATGTGTAAGGCAGGGAAATGGCCAGAAAACTGAGAAATAAGGAGGAGAATGAGGTATGGCCAGATAGAGAAGGTGACAGAACACATCTTTGATGGATATAAGGTATAGTAATTGGAGTGGGTGTTTTCTCAGCTCATCTGAACAGTAAATATAAATGAGCTTAACCACATCAAAGTGGTCACTGTCTATAGTCTGTCAATTCCTTATTTCTCTTCAGTGACCCCCTGTGAATTCAAAGCTCTTCAGATGAATAGAGGAAGAGAGTCAGAAGAGATGCCAACCTATAAGCATCTGATGGAGAAGCCAGTTATGATATTAATTATCTTTTTTTCCTGTCTACAAAGAGGGAAAGCTCTTCTTTCTTTACCTTACCTCTTCCCCAAAAACATAGCATGTACGTGCACACACAAATGCATACACACTCCTATACATAGGCTTGTGCACAGATTTGGACTGCTTTCAACAGGCTTGAGGGAGCCAAAAGAGAAAGAAGAGCTGTGTTCCTGAATGGAGGGAGGTGACACTGAATGGATAATGTAAGGAAGAAGAATGGAAAAGATAGGCTGGGGTCTCCAAATGGAAAGACATCTGACTGAGTATACTTCAAGTTTTTTCAAGTGGACGTGGAACCCAAATATCACCAGATTGGGGAGTTTTATGGGGGAAGAGTGATGATTTTCAAGATACCTATCAGGAGTTGTACCAGAAACATGGTAATAAAGTCCATGACTGACTGAGTCTTGCAATGTAGAAAAGCCCATAGGGAACTGGCAAAAGTAAAAGTGGTCAACAGTGTAGTCAGTGTCAAAAGAGTAGGTATTTGGTCATGAATGACAGTAGCAGTCTGTGAGATGAAGCTGAATATAGATAAAATATAAATACAAAGATTGTAATTGTAAAAACAGCCAAAAAAATCAAGATAAGATTAAGAGAAACAGACTAGAAGCAAAGAGAAAATGGAAAAGGAAGTGACATTAGAGAGAGGATTACTTCAATAATAAAACTAGATCCAGGGATAGAAGCATTGGAAAATAGATGGAATGAGGTACATATATAGGGTAAAAGAGGAGGCACACAGAGAACCATACAGAAAAAGAGTTAAAAGCTGAGCGAAAAATGACAGAGTGTAAAAGGAAGAGAGGCGAGATGGAGAAATTGTGGGATCTGAAATGGTCAGGAGACAAAAGCAATGTTGGTGTAAGGGATTGGTTCACAGTAGCAGTGAGTTTTCAGGGCAAGGTGTTCCCAGGTATCAGTGTCCCCTATAACTCACCCAGATTACAAGAGACATCTCCCAGGCATCTCATCCACTCCTATGCTTTCAATCACCATCCACAACTTAATAGTTCCTAAGCAGACATAACCAGCCCAGCCCTGTCCTCTAAGCAGATAAGCTCATCCATCCAAATGGCGGAATGATCTCTGTCCAAGGTTCTGAATGTCCTAGCCTTCACCACTTTAGGTGTCCTCCAAAACCTTCAAACTCGACACTTCCAAAAATGAGCACATTATCTTCCTAAAACCAATATCTGCTCCTCCAGGGTTCCCTGTTTCTAAAACACACTATTAATTGTCCCATTCTTTCAAGTTGAAATTCAGAGTCACCCATGACACCATTGTCTCCTCAATTGATACACCACATCTATCACCTAACTCTATCAATTCTTCCTTTTAAATCTCCAGCCTGTCCCTTCATCTCCATTCCCAGTACTGACACTCTAATCCACATCTATATCACTTGTCACTTGAACTAGATCTACAAGGTCCTGTTCTCCTTCTAATCTTGTTCCCACCAAATATATTCTGAGTGATTTAGCCAAATTGATCTTTCAAAACTGCATCCCATGTCCTTTAACTTCCTTTAGGGTTAAGTCAATTCTCCTTCATGTGGCCTCCAAAGCCACTTACCTCAGGGCTCTTGCCCCTTTCTCCATCCTCATCAATGCTTCTTATTCTTTCACTTCATTCTCAAATATATTTAACTCTTTGTGGTTACTTGCTTTTGCTGAATCTAGACCTTTGTACATGCATCTTCATATTTCAATCAGTCATTTGTTTCTGTGTCAATTCTCTGGTAGCTCATAAGATTGATAAGCACTGATGCTTCAATAGTCTTGTGTCTGAATTATTATCAGCATCCATCTTAGCACCTGGCACCTGAAAGAGGCTTAGGAAACTTCTTGAGTGCATGGGAAATATTGTTCACTTCCTATATTCCAACATATGGAAATTTTCTGGCAAAAGTTACTTTATTATAGTATTTATACAGAATATTCACAAAATCTATTTTAATAATTGAATTATATATATACATATATATAAATATAATAAATAATATTTCTAGAAAGAATAACAGCACATAAAGTAAATGTAAGAGTATGCTTAAAATGTTGTAAAAGGATGGATGGGAAAAGCATATAAAGAAAAAGTAGAAGAACAAAAATACAAATTTGGGGCAAAGAGAAAAGGATAAAAGAGAAAAAATAGATTGAAAGGAAGGGACAAAGACAATGGGGATCAAAGAAAGAGATTTCTGAGGTAGAGACATCCTTTAGTGGAGGGGTGGGGGAAGGGAGGATCATTGGAAGAGAGGAGATGCAAATGAAAACTCTTTACAAATCACAATTTAGGAGCAGAGCCACAAGGACTTGGAAATGAAAAGTGTTCCTGTGTCATGTGTTTTTCAGAAGGTATTTCAAGAGGCCAAGGAGCAAGGACTGAGAGTAGCCAAGCATCTGACATGATGGGTAAGGCTGCCGGAGGGTCTTGGGGTGGAGGTGGTTCTTCAGATACCAGAGACCATGGGTATGTAGTTGATCAGAGTTCAAGGACATCAGACAGCTCACCAATGGAATGGCCAGTTATGGAAGTGGAGGGTCACACGGCCCTAGGCTGCAGGATGTCAGGAGTCTGTTTTTGTTTCCTGCTGCACTTGACTCTGAGCACACTTTGATAAGGAAGGGGTGCATCCATGCCAGAGTCCCATTCTCTGCATTTGCTTGACCTGAGCCTTTTGGGAATGGCAGGGAGGCAAGAGATTCTTTTAAAGTCATGTTAAATAGGGTGGACCTTGTGGATTTACATGGATGATCTAGTAGAAATACACTGGTAAAAATGGCAGTATCTCACTTACTATATTAGTGAGTCAATACTAAACTATTGGATTTATATAATGACATCTACCCTTGTCCATGGAATGAAGCAATCCAAATGTTCTTCAGCTGGTAGATGATAGCGTCACTTTGTCACAATTTTGGAAAAGGCTCAAAAGACAAATGATCCTGTTATCTGTCAGGAAACAAAGGCCCCAGATAACTATTCTTAAATTCAGCATATAGTTTTGAAGGATACACTGCAGTATGTTGACTAATACAGTGATTTCTCATTAGCTTTTGTAAATAAGATCTTATTTAATTGTCATAAAAAATTTAAAGCCTGAACAGGATAACAGTTGCTATCCCTCTTTCATGAACGAGGAAACTGATGTCCTTAAGAAATTAAGAGCATTTTCAAAGTCCCAGAGAAATAAAGGAAGACCTTAGATATCAATTCAGTACCTGTCTATTTCCATTATAAGGAAGGCAGAGAAATGATACTCAGGTCATTATAAACTCAAGCTTTCCACAGTGTGAATTGTCATAAGATTTATAACTTTTATTTATAAATTACAGTTATGTGACCACCACCTGTTACTTTCTAGATACCATGGATATTGGAAACAATTCTACTTCAGGAAAACACAATGAGAAAATAAGTAAGAATGATTAAGAATTTGCTTGATTTTTATGTTACAAATGGAGTGTTTTTTTTTCTTTTTAAGATTTTATTTATTTATTTGAGAGAGAATGAGAAAGAGAGCACATGAGAGGGGGAAGGGTCAGAGAGAGAGAAGCAGACTCCCTGCCGAGCAGGGAGCCCGATGCGGGACTCGATCCCGGGACTCCAGGATCATGACCTGAGCCGAAGGCAGTCGCT